GAAGAGGAAGAAGAGCCCAACGAGTCGTATAGCAGTAAACGCAAACACAATGAGGAGAAGTCGTCGGATAGAAAACACTCGCGAAAGCATAAATCAAGTCATAAATCCCGTGAAAGTGAGCCAAAAGTTAAAACAGAATTCGAGGCCTTATTGGGTCTCAACGATGAGATGATTGTTAGGAATAATAGTAAAAATAAGACCAGTTCTGCAACAAAGAAGTCGGAGACGAGTGAAAAGTACACTAAATTATTATCTAATAATCATTCTGTAGACAACAAAAGTCATATCAAATCAGTGAAGAGCGAGAAAATGGATGTCGTGTCAGACAGAGATCACAAATCAAAGTCTAAATCGAAATCACATGAATATAAACCGACGGCACTGGAGATCAAACCGAAACTCCAACCGATGGATATACTGTCAGATTTGCCGACACATGACTATAAACCTCTGCCTAATCGTGAGCTCATCGACGAGAGGGTGGAAGCGGCCAATCGTCGAAAGGCTGTGAAAACAAACGACGAGTTAAGTTATAAAGTTCAGAGCAAAAGGGGCCGAACGGCTGTGTTTGCCGGTCAGGCCCGCGCCCGGACCTACACTCACGTCCATAAACTGGAGGACCTGTGCATCGGTGTGTTGACCGACAACATCGACAAAATCCACTACTTGGACGACGCGCCCTATTATCTGCTCAAACCGGTGCTCCAGAAGTGCAGTCTTAGACAATTGACACGAATCGAGAAATTAAATCCAGTGAATAGTCTTTTATTAATGGATTTATTTATGTTTTTCTGTTTTTGGAGAATATTTTTTATGATAAATTTGATGTCATTTTATAGCAAATATTAGAGGACACCGACGAACTGTGGAAAGGCTTTTGCAACAAAGAATACAGGGGTAAAGAGCCCGACAGCGAAGAGGACGAGTGTTGGCGCGAATTGTACTTAAGGTGCGGCCAAGAAAGGGATAACCGGCTTAAGAACATCACTAAATTTATCTCTAATAAACAGCAGAAAGCATTGCCCGGTTTGTCACACAATC